CCCGAGATGAAGATCACAGTGGTATTTTATCTTTTCTGCTAGTGTAGCTCACCCTGAGGTTTCAGTCTGAGCACGCTTTTAGTGCCTTTTGCAATTGCAAAGTAAGTTTCACTGACTAAAACTTTCATAGAACTGGGACAGAGGACTGACAAGATAACCAAAATTTCATAGAAGCCTTTGCTTTAACAATATTTTCCCATGTTACTTTTCTATAGAAGTTTTCTTGTACAGTAACGGGAGTTCTTCATGGCCCAGAGATCTTTAGTAGCAGTCCCTGGCTGCCGGCGCGTGCTGTGCTATTGTGCAATCACTCTGATTGACGGTTAAACACATACCAGCAGCCGTTCCCTCCGTTCCTTCTCCACACCAAATCGTGTTAGTCCGGAGCAGAGGAGAGGAAGATAGGTGTGGAGCACCCATAGGGACACGTCTCAAAGAACTCCAGTTACTGCATAAGGTGACAAGTATCAGAGGGGTAGCCATGTTTGAGGGTACCCGGGGGTGCGCCACTTAGGTGACTACACAGCAGTATTCCTGCTTGGCAGTGGGCACTCCGTATTGCAGGGTTGGATGTTGGAAAGTATGGTATGTCCAAATCTAGTATCTGAGTCCTGAAAGGACTGACTAGCATAATGTTGTGCAAAGGTATTGTCCAAAGCCCATGTTGCAGCTCTGCAGATGATGTCTATGGGAAGACCCTTGAGGAAAGCAGTTGTGTTAGCTACTGCTTTCGTGGAATGCACCCATATAACTGTTGTTGGCTGTCTGTGTTTCTGGGTGTAAGCCAGTTGTATGCCTGTAGAAATCCATTTGGATATTCATTGGTTTGGAAACCAATTGACCTCTGGACCTGTCCATGCATGATACGAAGAGTCTGGGAGTGCGTCTGAAGTCTCTTGTGCATTTGAGGTAAAAGGCTAGTGCCCTACATACATCCAGCATGTGCAGCACTGTCTGCTTGCTGTCCTTGTGTGATTTTGGGAAGAACACAGGTAAGTATGTTGCTTCCTTACAATGGAACCAGGTAGGTACTTTGGGCAGGAATTTCGGAATGGTTCTAAGGATGACCTTGTCCTTGTGGAACACTGTGTGCGATGGGTCCACCATGAGTGCCACTATCTCTCCCACTCTCCTAGCTGATGTTATCGCTACGAGAAAAGCTACTTTTATTGAGAAGTGGAGCAGCAAGCAAGCTGTGAGCAGCTCAAAAGACCATCTCATGAGCGAGTCCAGCATGAAATTCAAGTCCCATGATGGTACTGGGTTTTCCTGTGGTGAATAAAAGTTCCGTATCCCTTTCCAAAATCTCTTCACACACGGGTGGGAAAAAATGGAATAGCCCTGTATAGGTGGGTGTATCGCAGATATGGCTGCCAAGTGGACAGTGAGAAAATTAATTGATAGTCCTGTGTCCTGCAGATGGAGAATATACTCTAGTATGTCCGCTATCCCCGTCCTATTTAGATTATACTCTAGTATGTTGCCTTATTCAGTGCTTGAGCCCAATTCCAGGCTTCAAATCAGGCCCACTTCTGCAGGTAAGTCCATTTCATAGTGGGTCTTCTAGTGTTGACCAGGATATCTCTGACCCTATGAGACATCATTAATTCATATTTGAGAGCCAACAAGCATCCATGCTCGCAGATCTAGGGTGTGGAGTCCAGGATGTGGTATGTGCCCTTTGTCCTGGGTCAGCAGCACTCAAACCGGTGGGAACTTGTACAGGGGACGAGTACTGAGTTGTAGTGTGATAGGGTACCAGATCTGTCTCGGCCAACTGGGGGCTACCAGTCTGACCCTTGCTGCATCCTGTTTGATTTTCAATACTGTCTGTTGTATATGAGGTATAGGTGGAAATGCTTATGCCATGGGAAGTCCCAGCAGTCTGCAAATGCATCCCTGAGAGATCATGGTCCAATGCCTGCCCTGGAATAGTATAGGGGACACTTGGAGTTGGCATGAGTCACAAACAAGTCCACTACTGGATAACCCCATTTCTTGAAAAGGTTGTTTATGATGGGTTTGTTGATTTCCCATTCATGATTCTGGGAATTGTCTGCTGAGGTCATCCGCTAATACATTGTCCTTGCCTGGTAAAGGCATTGCAGTTGGTGTATAATACATCATTGTATTTTACACCTACTGTTGTGTATAATACATCATTGCCACAGTTTCATAGCTTCCGCACATAGGTTGCTCGATCTCACGCGCCCAATTTATGTAATATTCGTTGCGGTATTGTCTGACATTATTCTCACTGTTTTGTTCCGTATGTGCTAAAATAGTTGGGAGCACTCTTGTCTGACTGCCCTGAGCTCCAACACATTGATATGGAGCCGGGACTCCTGTTGTGTCCATTGTCCCTCTATCATGCTCCTGCTGTGGGCTCCCCATCCCAGCAGGGACAAGTCCGTTGTGATAGTGATGGATGGCATTGTTGCCTGAAACAGAAGCCCCAGGCATGCATTGCGTATGTCTCTCCACCAATCCAGGGTGGCTTTGACCCAAATGGGTACATAGAATGCCTTGTGGATCACGTGGTGTCTGGGCTGATATGCAGAGCTTAGCCATACTGGGAATGGTCTCATATGTAGTCGAGCGTGTAAGACTACAAACATGGACATGTCCATGTGTCTGAGTATTTGCAAGCATGTACGCACCAAGGTGCATGGGCAACTCTGTATCGACGCGATCAAGGCACATAATCTTTCCCATCTGTGGATTGGCAATGATGCTATGCTCTTGGTGCAATCCAGCTGTGCTCCTATAAACTCCAGTGTTTGTGTAGGAGTGAGGGAACATTTGTCCAAGTTCAATAGGAGCCTGAGCATCTTGAATAACTGTCTTGCTGAGTGTAACACCCACTCCATGTCCCCATAAGTGTGTGCCATGATCAAACAGTGCCACAGATGAGTGGGATGCAGCAGCGGCACTGGTGCCCCGCTCCACTTTTTCCTGGTGTTCTGTGGCTTATCCTCGGTTAATTTGTCCTGCTATACTCTTCTTTTCTTTCTAGTCTTTCTAGGAAGACTGTTGCTACTGGGACAGGCGGTTGAGAAGGAACTGAGGGAACGATCTCCAGCACATGCCTAACCGTCAATCAGAGCCACTACACAATAGCGCAGCATGCGCCAATGGCAAGGGACCGCTACTAAAGATCTCCGGGCCATGTGCACAGCAGCGCTGACACACTTAAGTAGAGCATCCACGGGGACCCTCAAAGAAGAAAAATTTGTTCTTGTTGATGTTAGAGCCAAAACTAGTGTTAATGGAAGATTTTTTCTGTAATTTGACATCTTTAAATCATGATTAGAGGACTTTAGTAATCCAGCCAAAGGTTAGGGGTCTATTATAGGAGTGGGTGGGTGAGGTTCTATGGTCTACAGTGTGCAAGATGGCAGACTTGTGGTCCCTTCTGACCTCAACATTTATGAGTTTGTCTTGGCTTAGCATTTATTTAGAACTTTTTTCACTTCTAGATGTTTAGGTATGCACTAAAAAGATGCACTAGCAGAGTGTTTCTTAAACTGTGTTCCACACAACACTGGTGTTCCATGAACAATTCGCAGGTGTGCCGCAGCCACTTCTTTGTTTTTGTTACTTCTTTGTTTTTGTCTTTTTTTGTCTGACTTTTTTTTAAAGAAAATTTTCATAGGTTTTTTTTTTTTTTTTTTGGAAAAAACTTCACCTGCATCTAGACTACAGCCGCGTTCTTTCGAAATTAAATCAAAAGAACACAGCTCTTCTTTAGATGGCGGTACTCATTTCACAAGGAAGAATGCCTTTTTCGACGGAGATCCATCAGCTTATTACACCTCAAATTTTAGCTGCCAGAATGCAAGGTTCCTTCGCAGCGGGCAGCCTGGGAAAGACTGAGAGGTGCCCCAACAGATCTGCCACCTGGGAGTGACACAAATCCAAACACCCAAGCTCTCCCTATGTCTGTCCCTTTATGACCGGCTGAAGTTCTTTTAAATTGTGCTTGGTTCTATTACAGCAACTGAAGGAGTCAGGTTAAAGCTTAAACAGTTACAGGTTTATTAAAAAGACTTATAAAAGCATATGGCTACAATGGCTATTGCTCTCTTTCTTAAGACTTATAAAAGCATATGGTTACAATGGCTATTGCTCTCTTTCTTAACTGTTAGCAAATACAGATTTTTAAAAATGGTTACAAGGAAAATAAAGATAGAAAATAGAAATAATGGTACCAAGTGACAGCTTAATCTTTAAAGAGCTCTAAGTCTATGTGTACACTTAAGACAAAGGACCACATCCAGGTACAATTTTTACCCCCTTCTGTGCCTCTCGACTCCAGTGGGTCAAGCCAGGGCAGGTCCCTCAATTCCTAGAAAAGACGAATATGAGGTGGGCGTCCCCGTAGAACCTCGGGAGATAAAACACCTAACCTGAACAGCAGATAGATGATAGATTGACACTCAGAGTAAATGTGCTGCTGGACCCATCTTTATACCCCTAGGGGCCCATATCCTCTTTCTTATCTAAGATGCCAAATTGTACTGGTCCGTTTTGTGGCGCCAGTTCTTACAAGCAAGTTTCAAGTTAATTTACACTTGCAAGAGAGAGAACTAAATTATGTGTACTAGATATATTTTTTACTGGGTAAGAGATTCCTCCCCCCACGGACGGCTGTGTGTACATATCAATATGGGATTTAGTCAAGGGCACTCCTCGGCAGCCTCTTGGTCAGCAATTGGCATATCTCTGTTTACAGCCATTCACGGTCACAGCACCCTGCCATATCCGGGCCTTCTGTTCTGTGTGCCCTGCATGCTCCAGGCAAGCAAAAATGGATGTTACAGAGGGGTTGTTCCTGTCTGGCTACAGTTCCTTAGAAAAAAATATTATTGTTTGATGTTCCATGGTCTCAAAAAGTTTAAGAAACAGTGCACTAGCAGAACATGAAGAAATATTTACAACCAATAATCCTACATACTGCATGTATCTTCAAAGCAATTACAGCAATGTCACATTGTTTAGCACAGATTGAAGCCAAAATATTGACACTAGTTAGTATTTCAATAAACTGAGCTGATCACTGGATTTAACCACATGGTTATAATTTATTAACTGTTAGATGTATATTACTTACATGTACTACTATTCAAAATTGGAACAAATATAATTAGCACTGAAAAATAATACCTCAGTGACAAATGGGTTGTAAATGTTTACAGCTTGGCAAGAGCTAAAAGGCCTGGCAAGCAAGGAAAATTTAACTGAAAAATGCTGTGACCCATAAATTTCATGAGAAATAGAAAATAGCTGTCTTCTACTTCTGTCACTTAGGGAACAGGATTTTTTTTTGTAGTAGGATCATACCACACTTATTGGCCTAAAAGAAACATGCTCTGTTTCTTTTAAATTTAAACCCTGAGGTGAGCAACTGCACTTCCCATTGACTTCAGTGTCTCTGAAATCAAATCAATAAGATGTTTCTATGAATGACACTTTTACAGAAGATTCAGCTGTTTGCATGCTTGGTTCTCAGAATGTTCACCTCAGGGGTTTAAATTCTTTCTATCACACTAGTATGCGGCAGCTCAAATCAGGATATTGTTGCCTTTTTTTTTTTTTTACATTGCACCTTAAGGATTCTTTTTCTATCACCTGTATGAGACAGATACCATAATGATATTGCCAGTATTTTCTTATTTATATGTTGTAAATTACTTTGAAACAGACTATTAGGTTAAACACGCTTACCAAGGACCACAAAAGCTGCTCCAGTGGTGAAGATATTTGGTACATAAAGCCAGCTCCCTTTCCATATGTCTCTTTAGCAGTGTCATCAATGCCTGTGATTATAATTACAAATCTTGCACTCTTTGGTGTTTTCCTTAAAGCCCCTGTTCCTGGAATCTTGAGAATTTTATTTCAAATTAAATTTCAAGACCACATGGTCATGGAGAAGAGCTTGGAAACATGATCAGCATACACCCCAAATGCTCAAAGTATCACTAATCAAATAAAGCCTCCCAAAGTTATTTATTTTTAATATCGTAGAACCTGTCATGATTTTGAATGCTTGGGGCTTGGGAATATAGACAGATAAATAGTGACAAATGTTCAAACTGCTTATACAC